GTGTATAAGAGACAGCCCTCCGCCCGGCCAGGGCCCGTCTGTCCCGCGGGAGGGGCCGGGTCCTTCCTTCCGGAGGTGCTGGAGCCGTGTCGAGAAGCTGCCGGTCAGTTCTGAACCGGGCTAGCGCCCCGGGCAAGGGAAGCGCCGGCCCCGGGAGGCTGGATCGTCTTCTCTTCGGCCGGGGGATCCGCTTCTCGGCTCTCCAGCTCAGCCTGTGCGGGCCGGGGCGCGGGGAAGCGCTCAGCCCCGTCCCCGTGCCGAGCCGCTGACGGCGACTGGGAGCATCGAAGCCGAAGGAAGCGAGTGCGGTTACTCACCTGGACTCCTCCCTTACTCATAACAGTATTGCGTTTACTTCGGCTTTGTCCAACGACTGCTGGAGTACTGGGTGTCCTCTTTTCAATGCATAAAGCCAGAAGCACTGTTCTGGCCGGTGATCTAAATCAAACCGGGTGCTTTACATATCACCAAAATACAAAAGCCTCTGGGGTGGAAGCAGCGAATTAAACTGCTCTTGCATGGGGGAACAGAGCAGATTCCCCAGATGAAGCAAGAAAAACTTGAGGTGGGGCTGTAGTAACTGGCTGGGAGTTTCTGGTCGTAATGTTCACCCCTTACCCCTTTTTGTAGGGAGAGTGAATATAGTAAACCAAAACTTTCAGCTGCTGTCCCAGCATTAGATTGGAAACTGGGTTCTACTGTACTGTAGTCATTGGTACCACTGCCTGCAGCATCTCTATTCTTTCCAAAGGTTTTAACTTCCAAACAGTGCACAGTGGACATCAGTGTGTGTCTGTGACTGGGGACAAACTGATGTGAGGTAAATGATGGTGGTGTATGTGTGCAAAAAATATTTTCTTAAATGGCCCAGCTCATAATTGTGGTTTTAATATAATGAGAGTAAGTTTTTTGTTTGGTTTTGTGATGGTCATACTTGTTCTCCTATATTTGCCTGTCTCCTGTGCCATTTCAGAACACAGGTGGCTAATGACAATAATCTTTGCCAATCCCATACTGTTGGGGTAAACAAATCCCACAAAAAACATAGCTTATACCCCTCCTCTAGAGGCAGGCCAGTGCCTGGTCCTTGTCTCACACCTGGAAGTCCTGAGAATCCACAGGTCCTGCTGCAGGAATTGGTGAGGCTTCAGGGCTCTTGGTCCAGGCGATGCTGATGTTCACAGGCAAGTTGTGTGAGCAGCAGAATGAGCGCAACCTGACACTCGGCAAACTCCAGTGTCTCTCTCGCACAGACCCTGCGCGCTGCAGTAACCGTAGCTGTCCGCCCTTCCCAGTGACACGCGGGTGTCTGGAGTGTCTGCGGAGTGAACGCTGCCAAAGGGGCTAAGTTGACTAAGTTGTACGTGCCCTTCCCACGGGCAGGAGCTTGGATCTGTCTTCTCAACTGCTGGTGCGCTTGCGGGAGTTCTCTTTAAGACTCTTCCCTCTTTCAGTCTGAAACCGATTCAGAAGCTTGTGGGAATGAAGAGAGACATGCCAAGTGGACATAGTGTGTGATCACATAATTTCTTTTTCTCTTGGAAATAACTTACCTACAAACTGAACCAACTTGATACAGTGATACTGTATTACTAAAAACAGCACACGTGGAGTCTGTAATGGGATTCTATAGAGAGAGTTGGTTTTCAATCAGAACTGGTTTTGAAGCCTGTGGTTTGACAAGTTGCTTCCCAAAGCAGCAAGAATAAGACAGTAATTTAAATTTACATTTTTGTGCAGGCACTGTTCTGTCTTGCATCCGTCAGCTGAATCCTGATGCTCACTCAGGACACTGTACAGAAGCCACTGGACACTTCCATTGATCTGGTTTCTCAGATTATCAAAACCCACCAAAAATACCAAAGCATATTGTTGATTCACATGTGCTGTGAAAGACTTACTGAAATAATGTGTGAAGTTAATGACCGCTAATGCAGCTTCTAGAAGTTCTTTTCTCCAGATCCCTTATTCAGTTTCCCTACAAGTGCCCTCTAAGAGCTGCCACAAGATTACTGCAGTTACAGATAACTCCGTCCATCTTCCCTTCCAGTGTGTGTCACGTTCCTGGGAAGGTTCTACCAGAGTCTAAAGGACAACGACGTTGAATTCACACCTGCCAGTATTGAAAAAGAGCTCTTGAAATCCTGCAAAGAAGCGAAAGGCAAAGAGAACCGCCTGGTAAGTAGCGGTGGTCAATGATACTTGCCTCTGGAAGCAAGTAGAGCTGTAGAATACTTTGCAAACAAGGGGAAACTAGTGCTTCTGAGTTGGTATGATATGGCTTCCCAGGGGCTGTTCTTCCTAACTCTGTGGCCACAACTGGTCCTGTAATTTTTATAAGGGAAGACTTGAGGAGTTTGACCTCTTCACCTTAAAAAAAAAAAAAAAAAAAGTCCCCAACAATCTGTCAACAGACATCTTACTGTCTGACCTTGTTTCTCCCTGCTACTGAAGTGATGGGGTTACAAAGCCTTTATTTGCTGTAGGACTTCTGGTCCCTTAAACTGTATTTGGGGTGCTATATAAGCTGTTAAAATGTTTATCCTCTTTGGCTGTTTAGCTGAAAACTAACTAAAACCCAAGTTGCCCCAACTAAAACCAGAAGGCAATCTGCAAATGAAGAGTCCTGAGGAAAAGGCCCTTAACTCTGCTAAGAAGAGAACTACAGAGGGTCACCATCAGAAATGCAGGGGGGAAAACTCTTCCAAAAGTCTTTCTCCCTGAATGAAGAAGACTTTACTCTTAATCCAATTCAATTTTTAAAAAAGTTGAGAAACAAGACAACCAGCCTCAACAGCTTTAAAAGCAGTGTGATGGGAAATGTTTGCTCAGTACCCTGGGCTCAGAGTTGGGCTTCCTTTTGCCCATCTGTAGCAGTCACCTGCAAAGGTTCTGTAACAGTAAATGTCTAGCTGCAGAACCAAGTGAGGAGAGAAGATGGATAGAAAACTTTTAGGAGCATTTTCCATATGTCCCCACCTCATTCTTTTCTTCCTTCTAGTGCTATTATATTGGGGCTACAAGTGATGCAGCCACCAAAATCATTAACGAGGTATCAAAGCCAATGAGTCATCACATCCCCGTGGAAAAAATCTGTGAGAAACTAAAGAAGAAAGACAGTCAGATCTGTGAACTAAAATACGGTGAGTTGCCAGTGTAAGGGGAAATGCCCATGCTTTTCTGGGGTATGGATCATTTGGGGTAAAACAGCATGCTAAAACTACTCAGTCCTGAGTCTTGTAGCGAGGTTCCTAGCCTAATTAGGTTGCAGAACCTGGCTTGCTCTTCATGAACACCCTGGAGTTCCATGGAGATGGTCAGGTAAGGTTGTTGGCCACCAACATCTTTTAGCTTCTGCAGAGCCACTGATCTGCCTTGAAATAAGTCACTCCCAGGCATATCAGCACTACTGAGCTCAAATCACCATTTGGAATATCATATTTAGGTGGGTGTGGAGTAAAGCTCATGCTGGGGAGCAGCCAGGCGTGTCGCTCCGGCCTGGGATGGTGTCTCCTGTACGCAGGGTCTGACCTAGCTGCTCTCACGTTTGCCAGTAGCGGGTTGATAAATGCTTCTTTCTCACCTCTGGTGTCTGCTCAGAGCATTCAGCACTCTGTTTCTTACCACCTTCCTTGATGTCTGGCATTCCTAGATGCCGTACTCTTCCCGGAAAGGCTTATCTGAAGAACAGTCTTGAAAATGTCTCCTCCTGCCTGCCTTCCTGTATCTCTGCCCTTATATTCCCCGGAGTCACCCCTTGGATTGTGGGCCTTTATACTTGTCTTGTACTAATGTCCCATTGCTTCCTAAAGAGCTTTTTGTTGTTGTCACTTGCTTATCTTTCTTCTGAAATCACTCTGCTACCTTTTATTTATCCAGTGGAAGAGAGGAAGTACTGCTGCTCATATAATAAAGGGGCTTTTAGGGCTATTGTGGAAGTCCTACATCTAAGCTGCAAACAAACTTTCTGGCTTCTAGAAATGGCTTTTAGTGTTAAAAAGCGTTTGACAGCAGATAAGGTTAACTTAGACCTTCCTTCCACCTCGCGGGAGTCCAGCACCTCTCTCCCTCTGGCTTTTTGGCTTCCTCGCCCCCGTACCGCTCCACCGCAGCCGCCGGACCCCTCACCGCCGGGCTCCCCTCGCCGTTTCTGCACACAAACCCGCGGGCCGCAGC